ATTCTTAACACTTCTGGACATCCTCTTAAACACCTACTTAAGCTTAGTTCGAATAACAACCTAAGGGGTAACACCCAGAAACTGGAAACACAACATAGCAAGACGGAATGTAGACACAATTTCTACTCCTTAAGAGTTGTCAAAAGCTGGAATTCGCTGCCAGCCGAGCTAGTCCAAGCGACTTCTCAGGAGTCCTTCAAGAGGCAACTTGACCTATTCTTAAGGACCAAGAACAGCATCACATTATGATTTACCAATCGCTTTTCCTCTTTTATTGTTAACATACCTAGGTTCCTGCCTGGAGGATTTGGTGATCCCCTGCTACTAGACACGGAAGCCTGTTAAGCGAAAGCTTCTTCTATTCCGTCCACAATCATTTGAAACATTTGAACCGCTGTTACTTAGGTCGTCGACATTATTGTTTGCGGATGATGTAAAAATCTGGAGAACAATAAAAAGTGCGGCTGATCATCTGGATCTTCAAGCTGACTTAGACGATTTAGTTAGATGGGCTCGAGAGTGGGGCTTAGAAATCAATGCTAGGAAGAGTGTACTAATGCACATCGGTCACGGTAATAGTTACCGTTATACTATTGAGGATAAACCTCTTCCATGCGCTCAAGAGCATAAGGACTTAGGAGTAATATTAAGTCATGATTTAAAAGCAACTGCGCATTGCAAAGCAGCCGCTGTCAAAGGTTTTCGTCACTTCGCCAAGCGTTCAAATCTTTTGACGAGGAAGCGTTTCGAATTTTATATCCCATATATGTTAGACCACATTTAGAATACTGTATCCAAGCAGCTAGCTCGTGTCTGGTAAAGGATACTAACTCCCTTGAGCGTGTCCAGAGTGTAGGAACGAAATTAGTGAAGGGTCTTTCTAGACTCCCTTACGATGAGCGCTTAAAATGCCTAAATCTTTCCCCCTTGTCGTATCGTAGGACACGAGGTGACCTTATACTGGCATTTCATATCTTTAATTATGATTTGGGTGTTAATATGTCTTATCTTTTTGCTCCCTCCAGCACTAACAATCTCCGAGGTCATAGCAAGAAGGTTCATAAACCGCGATCTAATAAACTTAAAGTGGGATCCCGTTTTTCTCATCGAGTAGTCAATCATTGGAACGCCTTACCCGAACAAGTGGTATCAGCCCCATCAGTGAATACTTTCAAGGAAAAGCTGGGCCTTCACTGGAAAGCAATAAGTCAAGATTATCACAGTTTCACCAACCTACTATCCTTATTACTGAAGACTGAAGACTGCATCGCAAGTCCGGTCCTTACTCGGAATCTCGAAAGGAAAGGGAAAAAAGAAAACCAATGGACACACCCTGTCTAGGACAGGAGGGAGACGATAAATGGATGAATAGCACAAGAACTAGAAGGAAGTGCACATAAAAGAGTCGATCGATGATGACTAATTGACTGTTGGTGATTAAAAAAAGCAGCATTCCTATGTAAGGTCAGAGGATTTCACACAACGCGATATGGTTTTGATGATGTCACAGGTATTCAGTGTTTGACAACGCTTCTACCAGTAAACCTAATATGATTTGTACCCACCGAGAGAAATCAAAAGACAGAGTCGAGGAGATCGGAAGAGTGTATTTGGCGATTACCGATATATCGGAATTCTCTGATCTAATCTGGCTAGCGATTGCAGAGGATGTTGAGCACGACGTTACCACACGTGATCTGATGCGGATGCATGAACGAGCGCCTTCAGCTAGATGAGTCCACTAAAACATATGGTCAGCATCCAATGTCGAAAACTTAGCGCTATTTATTTTGGGGATTTATTTACCTCTACAGTATCTAAAAAATCAAGCATAAACAAATTACTAATAATACTATAGAGGTTTTTCAACCAGTAATCAAACTTTGGAACATACTTCCAGGAGAAATGGTACCTACAGTATCCATTTACACATTAGAGGGACTGTTAGATCACCAATACAGCCTTCTAGAAAAGGATTAACACAATCAGTTCACCTTCTGGTTTAAAAATGAAAATCTGAGAATTAAACTCAGTTATTCTCGATTATATTACATATAGTCGGCAAGAAATATTTCGATTTGTAGCTTAAAGTAACGTATCACTGACAGTGCTAAAAAGCCACCGAACGATATTCAATCTAGTCTTCCAAAAGCTAATTGTAAGACAATTGATTTCCAAAACACCTTAAGTGTATGCTACACGAACGCTCGTAGTCTTAGAAATAAAACGTCCGAGCTAAGTCTGATGGTGCAAGAATTATGTCCCGATATAATCGTTGTTACAGAAACTTGGTTCACCGTAGATATAGACTGTTCTTCGTTCATTGCAGGCTATATCTGTATTAGAAGTGTTAGAGTTTCAAGTCGCAAAGGAGGAGGTATAATACTATACGTTAGGGATCACTTTCGTATACAATCAACAATATCGGAGGCTCATATCAGTGGCACATGTGAGGTTGCATGTTGTAAGATTAAATCTAGAAATGGGTTAGTGACTATTGAGGGGATATTCCGTAGTCCGTTTTGTCTTGCTGATGACTTTATCCTAATACACATCTGTTCTTGGAGTATAGCAGAATGTTGTCTCATCATTGGGGACTTCAACGCACCGCATATCAACTGGATAGAGCTTACAGCTCCAGGTAGTGGTTTCGATAGCGACCTTTTATCTACCGTTATTCAGTGTGCACTTGTACAATGTATCACAAAACCGACACATATTGGTTTCAATCGCGATCCGTCACTGCTGGACCTCGCCATCACCCACCACCGTGAGGATGTCTTTGATATTCAGCACCTTCCCTCACTAGTGAACAGTGATCACGTTGTAATTCACTTTAAGTTTAGGACACATGGTATACAATTCGTATCTGCTCTACCCCGTCCCAATATCTGGCGAGCCAATATTCCAGCGATCAGAAACTGTGCTATCTCGACTGATTGGTCGGTTGACGCGGATGGATTGATCGAAGATGAATGGAATAAGTTTAAGGCTACATTCGAGTCCGTAACGTCGCCGTTTATCCCATGGTCAGCACGTAAGCTATCACACTGCCCTCCATGGATTAATAAGGAAACCCGGAAGCTGTTAAAATGTAGGAAACACTTCTGGGACTTATTCTTGTTGACAGGTCATGAACCATTTAAGCGTGAGCACCGGAAATTCCGTAATATCTGTAAGAAAACCATAGCCAAATCCCGTTCCACTTACGAACGACAGTTAGTATATGATAGCCGAAACGATTGTTTTCGTATGTTAAACGGCGGACGAAACGTAGTGATGGTATTCCCCCGTTACTGTTACACAAAAATTCAGAATTACTAGCTGAATCAGATCGAGCAAAAGCTGAGACTTTTTCAAAATATTTTAGCGAAGTCTTCTCTTCGTTTATTGTAACAAATACTTGTCCCACTCACACCGAGATACCAACCATTGAATCTGTACAGGTGACTGAGGAAAATGTCCTTCCATTGATAACTAACCTCAAACCTGGTAAGATACCGGGCCCTGACGGAATACATCCACGGTTGCTGTCATCTCTTGCGGACATTATTTCAAAACCGTTTGCGAAACACTTCAACATGTCCCTCTCACTCGCTCAACTCCCTAGAGATTGGAAGGAAGCTATTGTCAGTCCTATATTTAAGGACAGTCAGAGACATATAGTATCTAACTACCGGCCTGTTAGTCTAACCACCATAGTCGTTAAGTTATTTGAAAAGTTAATTCGGGTTAGGTTGCTAAGCCACATAGATTCACACAATCTGTTAGCTCCTGAGCAACACGGATTTCGTAACAAGCGTTCATGCTTGACTAACTTGCTTATTGCGAGAGAGGATTGGACAGCAGCCCTAGATCACGGTCTGTCTGTCGATGTGATATTCATAGATTTTAGCAAAGCATTTGACAAAGTTTCATACGTAGGTCTTATGCAGAAGCTCACGAGCTTCGGAATAATAGGTACTGTACATGAGTGGATAGGAAATTTCTTATGTGACCGCAGACAGAGAGTGAGGGTCAACGGAACGCTATCCGATTGGAAGTCGGTCAAAAGTGGTGTACCCCAAGGCACCATCTTAGACCCTCTGCTCTTCCTTCTCTACGTTGATGAGTTACCGCTGTTACTTAAGTCGTCGACATTATTGTTTGCGGATGATGTAAAAATCTGGAGAACAATAAAAAGTGCGGCTGATCATGTGGATCTTCAAGCTGACTTAGACGATTTAGTTAGATGGGCTCGAGAGTGGGGCTTAGAAATCAATGCTAGGAAGAGTGTACTAATGCACATCGGTCACGGTAATAGTTACCGTTACACTATTGAGGGTAAACCTCTTCCATGCGTTCAAGAGCATAAGGACTTAGGAGTAATATTAAGTCATGACTTAAAAACAACTGCGCATTGCAAAGCAGCCGCTGTCAAAGGTTTTCGTGCGTCACTTCGCCGAGCGTTCAAATCTTTTGACGAGGAAACGTTTCGAATTTTATATCCCATATATGTTAGACCACATTTAGAGTACTGTATCCAAGCAGCTAGCCCGTGTCTAGTAAAGGATACTAACTCCCTTGAGCGTGTCCAGAGTGTAGGAACGAAATTAGTGAAGGGTCTTTCTAGACTCCCTTACGATGAGCGCTTAAAATGCCTAAATCTTTCCCCCTTGTCGTATCGTAGGACACGAGGTGACCTTATACTGGCATTTCATATCTTTAATTATGATTTGGGTGTTAATATGTCTTATCTTTTTGCTCCCTCCAGCACTAACAATCTCCGAGGTCATAGCAAGAAGGTTCATAAACCGCGATCTAATAAACTTAAAGTGGGATCCCGTTTTTCTCATCGAGTAGTCAATCATTGGAACGCCTTACCCGAACAAGTGGTATCAGCCCCATCAGTGAATACTTTCAAGGAAAAGCTGGGCCTTCACTGGAAAGCAATAAGTCAAGATTATCACAATTTCACCAACCTACTATCCTTTTTACTGATGACTGTAGACTGGGTTTATTGGACGTTGAACAACTTGTTTAAGTTATGTTATAGCGGTATACATTCGATAGTGAAGCTCCTTGCTCTTATCGAGACGTCCTTGGTATCTGTCCATTTATTATCGTTAAACGGCTTTCTTGTTCGTTTCCCAAATATACTTATCAGTACGCACATTTTCCTCATCAACGTAAAATGTCAGGTCAGTCACAACGTGGGAAGACGAAGTCTTTGAGGTAAGTTCCTTTTCTCCGACAACAAAATGTTGTAGAGCTCGAAATCAGCGTATGTCAATGCCCCCCATTAATCCTTTGCGTGTGGCGCATGCTCAGGTATGGCGATATTTATCAGGTCCCTAGCTTCCTTAGAATGCCTCAAATGACAACTTGGGGATATACGCGAACCCCAGACTAACGTATATTCTTGGACGCCATGTTATTGTAAGCATAACTTACTTCATTTATGTGTAGGGAAATGTGGGGGAAATCATTACTCTTGAAGGCGACCATGTCCACGGTGTGATAAAGGCTATTTCTCCTTCCGTAAGTCCCAATTTTAATATATTGCAAGGCTGATCTCGGTATAACGTACGCTCAAGTTGCACAAAAAAATGACAAAGGTAATCGTAAGAACGTGGCTGACAAAACCATTCTCTGGACAGAAATTAAAATGGTTCAAATATCTAACGTTAAAAGGTTGGACTGCCTAGTCGGTGAGTAAAAAACTTAATTATGAACTCTTTCAGATGATATAAAAACGGACAGTGAGATCGCCAAAGACTGTTCAACTAACAACTTCGTGGAAGACAAGGAGCTGGTGCCGTTCTTTGCCTCGTCTGATGTCGTCAAAGACTGTTTACTTGATCAGGGAAGCTTTTCTGCGATGGAAATGTTTGAGACGAATGAAAAAATGTTTTCTGTCGTTTCCACGTATAATGACGATCTTCGAGAGTATACGTAAGTTATATTTCAGTTCTATCTTATTTTCCAGGACACCTGTTGACAGGTCTGCTCCAAATTTCTCTGAAACCGAGGCGCGGTGTGCAAAACTGGCGCAAGACATCACAGAAAATTCTTCATGTATTAGTTTAGTTGACAATGAAGATATTGGGATGGAAAATGAGGAGGAAAAGTATAGTGCTGTTAGACGCAACGGGACAGTCCAGAATTCGATGCGGAATGCGAAAAGCAATTCTCGAACAAATCTAGTTCCTGCAGAAACTCAAGTCAATTGCCTTGGCAGTCAACTGTCTCAGGTATGTATTCAGTCAAGTAAGCCAAGTCACACCGAAGCTGTTCGTGTGAGTATATCTGTTGGGGATGCACTAAAGTCAGACGTTGTTCCACAAGTTAATGGAATATCTAAATCCAGCACCCAAGCCGATAAGGATAAGGTCAAACTATGTCACGACCAACCTACTAAAGTGTCTACACCTACTTGCGTGTGCACGTCAGCACCTGCGAAAACCAATGTTGTTGATGTACCTGTGTCGTCTGTTAGTAAATCAAGCAGTACTGAAGAGCGTGTTAAAAAATCAACACTCGATCCCAACGCTCCTGAGTTCCAGCCTATGGGTTTGTCTTATACTTCACATTCTGTTGCTACTGTGCCTCCTACTCTTCAACCTAGTTTACCTACTCTAAACATGCCTATTCCACATTACGTATCAACGGTAAACGTTATTTCTCAAGCCTCTCAATTACCGACACAAGCTACGTTTATTGCTGCAGGTCAGCACATGTATGCACCTTACTCCTATGGTCACCAGACACATATTCAACAACTACTACCTACTCCAGTTTGTTCCAATGGACCTGGCACAAACCCTCAGCATGTCCGAGGTAGTGCATTACCCCAGTCTGTTAATCAACAAAGCTATGTCACTCATGGTAGTAATATGATGCATCAGTTGGGACAGAATGCTACATTAGGGCAGATTATTACAGCTCCTCAGGTGATTACAGGTCAGAACTCCACAGGTCGCCTTCCAGTTTGTCCTTCGTCTTCCGTCAACTTCACACGCCAACGTTCCAATGATTCACCTTCTTCGGTAACCCACTGTACATCGTATCCCGTCCAGCAGTCAACTATGTCTATTCCCACCTTCCAATCACAAGCACTATACCAGTTACCTCAACCAAACGGTACGTTCCCTTACTTGGTTTCCAGTCATCCTCCGGTGGGACTGCAGTTCCTTCCTGGTTTGCCTACTGCTGTCAGTTCTGGTTTGATGATGGGAGGTGTTCACGTATCACAACCTTCTAGTCAGCAAATATGCCCAACTCATACCATCATGCAAATGCAACCTGCGCATCTGCAAGTTCCTGTTGGACAACCAGATCAGATTAATCAAACAACTACACCTCAACAAACCTCCCAATCTCAGCAATTATTCTCTCAACACTTTCAAGATCAATCCCACTCCATCCAAATCCCTTCATACGCAAATCTCCAAGCTCCATATCATCACAATCTAATGTTCGCTCCTCAACAGAATTCCCCTGGGTTTTATCCCGGGCCATCTGCAATGATAGCGGCACCAGGAGTTAATCATATTGCTTCTGGCTTATCACCCATCGTTGGCCAACCGAATCCTCATCCACTGGGTGCCAGCGTGGCAAATCAGTCGAATCAATCCGACTCTTCTTCAACCGCCTCCCAGCAGTTACAGCAGACTCATATTATGTCTCAACCGAATTGCCAACCACAACAAATGTTACAACATTACCCAGCAATCCCTCAACCTCATCTGCTACAAACACAGCAACTGTCCGCAGCTCAACATATAGCCGGTCACCATATCCCCGGCAACCACACTTACCATGCGCTGATGGCAGCAATGGCGGCCGGTGGTGGAGTGGGAGCTACACAAGCTCATTAGTTACTGGGTGTTTTGTAATGCCGTTGACTGACAAGTAATATATTCTAAGACAAATTCCAGCGCTTTGTAAACTACCCGATGCCTTTCATTCTTGACACTATCTTTAGGTGTCTCAAGTAGTATTTTGTTGAATCGATCTCCAGAAATATGCAGGTGTAATCTCAAATCATCGTGGTTTTTCCTGTTTCTGCAGTGTGTTGACAATGAGTCCTAAATTGTTGTAGATGATTCTTCTCAAATTGTAAAGATCGCTTGTATGCAAAGTTTAGTAAAATATATCATCGCTATGCAAATAATATTTATTACTGGTTCGTAGCGTATTTTATTTTACCTAGAGCTGTGGACTGCACAACAACTTTAGATTTAATTCAGAAACAGTTCAGACGCGTCACTTAAGTCCGTTTTGTGACAAATCTTGCGACCACTAGACGTTAGTAACATCCAGTAAGTTATGGACTCCATCGTACGCCGACCCTGGTGGGTTGCCCGTGTGCTGACGCATTTTCCGGTGTGGTTAGTGCCATCTAGACTTGCAGTGATACCGTGTGCTGAAGTAGTTTGTATTTACCAGCAGCTGAGTGGCGATGTACAGCGTGGGTCCGTCATACAGGTAGGTCTAATATCAGCTCCGTATTTCGACACAGTACAGAGACCGGCCTGGTAGTCAGATTTCTGGATAATTCGAGCAAGCAAATTGTTCCTATGTTTTCTAAACGTGAGATCATTGTAAAGTTACACGTGGCAGCTCCCTTGCGTGGTGATTGCTTTGGTGCAGTGGTTGTCCGTAGCAATTTCTAAATTCGCGGCTTTTGAGGTGAGTGCATAGCTAGTGTAATCTTGCATCTTTCTCTTGCGTGTTATTGTCCCGCATGCTTTCGCGCGGATCCGTCCCTTGCCTGAACTTAAATATTCATGTTAAGCCTTTTAGAGCGATGATTAGGGTGTTTGATTCCCGCCTTATCCCTCCAGCAACTCGAGTCAGTGTGATTTCACTACCTCTCATTAAGAGTATGTCTAAGCGAACTAATGACAGGGAACATAAGAATACACACGCAAATGTCTTGCCTGTCGTTTGGAGAGTCGGACACCTCGAGTTCTTACCTCTCTAACATTAAGTCGACGACGATTTGTCTTATTTCCGCGTAGGTTAGCTCCTCTTAACTCGAAAGTCTCCTACACTTGCCTCACTCTTCAATCACGAGATAAATATTTAGATGAAGTCGACCGGATTTAGGAAGTTTATTTACTGATAATGAGACCGTCGTTCAATATAGATTAATGGCGAATAGACGTTCATCATGCATCGTAAGCAGTCCTACTTAACCGACGAAGATCAGAGAAATTTGCGGTAAGCAGGTGCTAGTAATACGTTGTTCTTATGAGTGTCCTAAATGTCAACACCATATGAAATCAGGCACGCTCTACCTACCTACACCCAACTTAGCATGCGTAATTGAGAAGCATATGCGTAGCTAGATAAGTTTATTTAAAAAATATGGCTAAAATACAGTTTTAAGAACCGACGCTCAATTGGAACTTTATTATTACTATTCATAATCGTAATAAGCGTTCTGTGAAACCTGGTTTTTAATGAAGATCAACCTTTATAGCAGTGTTAAACTGCCTTCCTTTTTAACTAACTGACAAAATTAATTGAGACTTACTGCAATCCTCGTCGACACTGAACTCTGCACCGACAGAACAACAATCAAAAACTCATTGGGAGTTACTACTGCGTTATATCCCCTCACACATGGCTATAACTTTGCGTTGTGATGTCAGTATTTTGCAGTCTTTTGTTATAGTGAACAATAAAATCCTGGATGCTAGTGACTAAACAAAAAGAATTTTCACTTAGTATGCTTATATTAGACCTGCACTTTCGAAATGCCAAGCAGTGTAAAGTGGCTGACCGCTTCAGGCTATATGACATGTGACAAAATCTAGCGCATATAGTTATCATCCATTACTCACGTTTCTATGACGATCTGAAATATGTAGTAATAATTCAATGAATTTAGCAGACTTACAAATCCGTATCTTCTTGCCGAAAGCATTCATCCGACGTTCGCAGCTCCTCCTTCAAACTAGACAAAAAAGTATCAAGTTTCGTTGGGCTTCACTGTGCATCAGACTTGGACTGAAACATGAGCTGCATAACTTTGGCACTAAAGTCTGGTATTGCTGACCACATTTGATGCAGAACAAGACTTAGTTTCGCGAATTTAAGGCAAATTACAAATGTGACTTACTCAGCCGCAATGTTCCTAGTTGTGTAGAACTTATTTATAAGCATAAATAAAACATGTCTACGAATCCAGCCTAGATTCCAGCCATGTCTATGTCGACGAAATTTTACAGAAACCCTGGTTCCGTTTCAATAATACCCTGAGAGATATTAATAAGATTACTTTACTTACCTTGTCGGCTTCTCTGTGTTTTTTGGGGAATGTGTTTTCATCCGTCAAACTATTGACATGGTAACCAGCCAGTTTGCTGAACAAAACCAACAAATCCTTCGCAGTCTGTATGGAATATCTGTATATGTAACTCATCACGGTAGTGCATAATCTATCGCCTGATGTCTGACCAATTCCCACCTGGTTGAGCACTGTTCAGGTGCATGTCCACAAAGTTTTCAGGATACATTCAAAGTTCTCCCACAAGCCACTTGCTTGCTGTAATTAGTGCCTGCTTCTTCCTGAGTCCATTGATAACCTCAAACTGCTTAGTAGTACACTAAATGATATTTAAAAGTTAGAAACTCATAGAACATATGACTATGTCACTAGAAGACAACGGTTTCTTAAAATAATAATGTCAGTGAAAATGCTAAACATAATTGTTCCGTTTTCCTTATATCAGTAATTAGCCCAAGTTTACCGTGTAGTACTATGCACATCATCCGGTTTAAATAATGGGTTTCCAGTATCCTTAAACGTAACTATCAGTTTCTTGTAGCCATAATTGGCTGACGTGCCTATAGTAGTTGCTAAAATACTAGCTTAAAGCCTACCACAAAAAATCTTTTGTACATAACGGTGAGCTACTTGCTCCATCATAGGGTAACGGTTATGCATTGGATTCTTAATGTTCCATATGAGACTCAAAGAGAGAAGCGGGTCGCAAATCGAAAGCTCTATGCGAACAAACGTCATCAGCAACACTTTTTGATGGATGTACATTATAGACTGTGTTTAAGTTAGTAGCACCGCTCGTATTCCTCAAGAAAGTTACGTAAATTATTACTAACTGAATCTGTTGCACCGCTGTACAATTTAAGATGCGCTAACCTATATATCCCTAATCCTAAATGTTTGGAATTTAAGTACAGAGGTAATAGTAAGGGGTTTTCATAGCCGTGGAACCTAAATAAAGGAACAATTGACATTCCGTTGCTTTCCAGATGGAAATGAAGTCTAATGTTCGACATTTTCTTTGAAAGTCAGAAGGAGCACTCCCAACACAACGAGAAGTGAATTCATTTATGCCTGTGATAATAGCTTTCTTTATGCCTCCAAGTCTTCTGTGAGAGAAATCTAGCCACAGATTGATTAGTTTCATAACAACTTCAGTATACCATGTGCATTGGATCTAAAGAGATCGTTGAAAAGACCAAATAGAAATGTCTCAAAATTGAAAAGTCCCTAATGGTAATTAGGTTGACTGTTGATGTAAACTGTAATCAGTTTACACAGTACATTTATCATCTGGAAATGTCATCCTTCCATCAATGGGACGATCCATCCGTAGAAACCTATCGCAACCTTCTTTTCGTTGTGATTCACTGTTTATCTAACATCCAAACAAGCAGGAGCGTCACAGATGCCGACAACTAGTTTGGTAGCTATACATTAGTTGAATCTGACACCATTCAGATCCAAGTCAGCCATTTCTTTTATCTCAGAAATTGTCAGTAGATATTTAATTAAATTCCGAAAGCTTCGTGTCCCCTCCATAGACACAACTAAACCTAGGGGGGACGATGAGGCCTAATACTGACCATAATTGCTGATTCAAGCCAATTGAAATGGGAAGTCCGCCTACATTAATCACTAATCGACCTACGTAGAATGCTTGGACCTAGAAGATCAAGTGTTCCAAACGGTACAGTTCGCCTTAATCATCATAGTATGCTCGGTCAAGTACCACTAAGATATAATTATTACGACACGTTTTTAGTGACTCACGGATATGGACTATCCAGCCAATGCCGACTAAATATTGTTGTATGAGCCCTATATCATCCTAAAATAAATCTTTAGCACATACATGTAGACTGACGTATGCGGTTGAGGTGAGTGTTGATAACAAGAGATGACTCTCTCTTGTTTCTTTTTAGAGAGCGATTGTTCCGTACCAAGTGAATAGTCCTTCATATCGTGAGTTATTATCAGTGTTGTATTTATTGTGACTAATTATGTCAGTGATCTTATCCCTTTGAGGCCAGGGTGTATGAAAGAGACTTCTCGTTTGTATCATTTTTGGCATGTCTGTTTTGTGTTAACATACTCACGGATGAACTCCTTTGGGTAATTAACAACTTAGCAAAAACATGGTTTCCACTTTATACGAATATTCGTCAAGATTAGAACGAATAGTGTGACAGAAATTGAGCGCCGAGTATAGAGAAGTCATCATATATGAAAATTATATTTGAAATAATCTCAGCGATTGAAATTTAAATAATTCCAACGTTTCGCGTCCAGCCAACTTGTCTGGACTTCTTCAGGGTAATGATCAGAAGTCCAGACAACTTAGCTGAACGAAACGTTGGAATTATTCAAATTTCAATCGCTGAGATTATTTCGAATATAATTTCCATATATAATGGTTTCCACTGTTTTGAGTTTCATTTAGTCCAAGTTCCTCTTGTGAATTCACCGCTTATTAATCTAGATACTGTCGCTTCCCCATGACGGGATATTTATTTCCATTTTTAAGCTTTATAAATCCCGATAATTTCTTCACAATTTGTGGTACAATGGATAAATTACAATATCTCTCCCTGAGGTATAATCACACTAATACAACAATATGACAATGAGACTGGCCTGGGTGGTCGAGTTTATAATACCGTTAGACTGAATATTCGAACGATCATCTACACACAGATCAGATCACGTTTTACAGATACACGATTCATCATGACCAAGAATAGAGAACCAAAGTAACGCCAAACACCACTTAACACAATGACAAGCAGTCATCCTTACTGAGTCCGGAGTAAAATCAATGAGAAGAAAAGAAATCATATTTAATATTCTGTAAATTGAGTACATGTTTGTCTACATTCAATGACCAATCACATTTGGTAAAGACTATAATTTTATGGACGAACCAATCAAATTTATGTATAACAGGTCTTGGATTTTGGCATGAAATTTAGTCATCCATTTGGCTAAATAGCATTTTGGCATTTTAGCTGATATTAGTTTGTGATGAAAACTTGAAATCTAATTCCTAGCTCTAACTGTCAATTGTAAATCATGATTTTTATTCCTCACTCTAGATTATAATCATCATTTAATCCCAGTTATTAAGTGAACATTCTGAAGGTTACTTTAGCGTTACTCAAAGGTCGACTATAAAATATAGTCTCATCCATTAATTTTATTACTGGTTCCCAAATAAATTCGCTTCCAAAAATGAATTATCGAGATAATTATCCTTGAGGTTTTGTAATAATTAGAAGTATTTGAATTATTATATGAATTAGGAATTTTAACTAATGAGAACTAGGTGAGCATAGACGAGCATGTTGTATTTAGAATTCAAAATTAGGCACACATCAAGTATAAAAGAATCATTAGTTCGCACAAACATTACAGGCTTGTGATTTTTTTACTTGTTATTTTTTTTGGGGGGGGGGTGTCTTAGTTATCATGCAAACTTGTTGTACACTTCAAGAGATCAAATCAGATTTATTTCGCTTTAGAATTGGTACACTGTATGCAAATGTATTTATCTCTTAATCTTGCCGAGTAACTGGTATATAACTTGAAATATTTGCTGAATATTCTACGACCGTCTATCCTGAAATAAGTTAGGTCGTATATCTTCTCTTGTAAGGACGACCGAAGTGTCCGTCTCTGAAGAAAAAAAGACTAGTAACACATTAAAATCCGCTTGTAGTGTTGGAAAAAATAATGATTTGCAGATGATGGAGATTTGTAACTCAGGTGGATGATTTTGATGGGGTTTTGTTCGTTGAGCTGTATGGTCATATCTGGAGAAGTTCGAACACTTCATTTCTACCTGAAGTTTGTGTTAAT